GTCATTTCAATATATTTCTTATATTATTTTATATAATTATATATATAATTGTAGCATTTCAAATATATGGCAATATATTTGTTATACTTCACTGTCCACTCACAAGCACTGGAGGCTGGGAGATGGCCAGGCTGTGTTGTCTAAAACTGCCCATAGGTGGAGAAAAAAAATTGATGGAATCCCTCATAAATTCACTTTATAAAAAAAAAAAATAATCAAAAACCATTACAGTTTTGTTTATGGTTGTTTAGTAGATTCTCATTTTAACGTACACTTTGACAACAAGGAAAATTATACATTTAACCTGACTTAAGGACACATTCTACCTGTCCCTATCTTTCCCTCAATCATTTGCACAGGGTGCCATGCTAGCAATCTCCATATAGTTGCTAATATCCTCCTCACCCAACACTGAAGCCAACCATAAATGGATTGAATATCATCCGGGTGAGCAGGGACCTGCCAAGATTTTATCCATCTATGGGCAGGCTGGTTGTACTGAAGTCAATCCATCAATCAACTTCAGTAAAACCAGCCTTTAGGATTTCTTTCATGAGATCACTGTGGACGGCCAAAGCCATCAGCAGCGATCATTGTGTTCTGCCAATCTGATCACTGAATCATGTGATATAAGGCTGCACCCCCCTCTCAATGTACCATGGTATACCTGTTGATTCTGTCCATCATGGATTCAATAAACTCGATAAAATATTCTCTTCTCCTAGATTTACAGTTTTACTTTTTGTGGTTTAACTTAAAAATATCCACTTTGCAGTTCTACGACATAGCAAAATAATACCATTTATTAGCCACCATATACAAATTATAAAACTTTATTTAAACTGTACAAAGTTATAGTAAACAGTTTTTCAGTTGGTAAAGTCCCTTACATGTTTCTGAATGTATGTTCATCTTCTTAACTGGGAGCCTTGTCCATATTTAAATCTAAAGGATCACAGAAAGTGTGGTTTTATAAACTGGACATGAGTAAACAAATAAAATGTAAACAATCTCAGATGTCAAATTATAGCCGATATTTAAAGCTCAACTCCCACATTTTAGGCAAGAAATACATCACCTTGAGCCACCATCCCGCTGGCCTTAGCCTCCTGGGTCATGACACATATCCCAGGAGTCTCCAGAACTGGTCTTGCAGCGAACTTGTACATTTGCAGTGAGGAGTCGGCTGTGAGACATCAGAAAGTCACAGCCAGCTCCCACATCCAAGATGACAGGGTTGTGGATCCGAAGCCCAGCAAAGAACTGGCTCTAGGAAAAACATTGCTGGACTCCATGGACTGGCACGCATCTATTTGTTGTAAAAGTTATTAGGATTTTGAGCTTTACTCACTTTTTTAAACTATTATTTTGAACACAACTGTATGAGTGTTTCCAGTCTGGCTGTGTTGCATATCAGATGTGAATAAATCACAAGATTAAAAGTTCCTCTTTACAATAAAAGTATCATGGTTTTGGTTCAATTTTATTTTAGTGGGGCTTTTTAAAGCAAATTCCTGTAAATAAAAAGCCATAAATAAGTCAATAAAAAGTAATTTTAAAAAAACAACTTTTGCTGCAATACATATCTTCAAACTAAAGCTGCCCCTCTCACTAGATGTTATTATTATTATTATACAGGATTTATATAGCACCAACAGTTTGCTCAGCACTTTACAATATAAAGGGAGACAATACAGCAATGATTTAGCACAATACAAGAGGGTTAGGATGTCACCAGTTTTCCAAGTTGAATGACAGCCAGCTATTATTCAGCCTGCATCCTACGAACCTAGGTTGCGTTTTAGGTTTATATGTTTTTAAACTGTTGTACAGTATTCATTTTTTTTTTACTATATGTATAAAACAGTTGTTTTATTCATGAACATTTAATACATGACAGAGGAATACCAAGTCACTAAGGGTTATCTAAAAAGATAGAGCAATAATCACTTCCTTTCGGGTAGACCGATTTTTTAATGAAACGTCAAACTCAACCATCCAAGCTTGACCAATGTAAGTTTGCAATTAAAGTCATACCTGGAGTTCAGACCTGAGCAAAAGTTGTTTTTTTTTTTCTGCACAGTAGTTAACAGATACAGATAAATATGTAAAAACCAGTCTAAGGCTGCATTCACTCAAGAACTTAGGTGTACACCAGTGTGAGAGCCATGTTTTGCCTGCACTTGATGCACAGGTGTTCCAAGGATCCGCATGCAGGCAGTTCCATTCATGTCAATTGGCATGTATTGGCTGCACAGACACAGACGCTGCTCCCAATATGACATCCATGTGGGTCGCATGTCCCTAAATGAAGACAATGTGAGTTCAGGTACACACACCTGCACCCGCACAGATGTCAAATTGGAAGCAGAAAGACAGTGCATGCCAACTGACATAAATGGGACTGCCTGCAATCAGCTATGTATGTTTAAGTACTGAGGCCGAAAGTTTCACCTGCTGTTCTCCCAAAAAATACAAAATAATAATGTCACTTCATACTGTATTTACCTGACAAAATATTTTTCAAAATGTTATTTTTAGCTGTTTGATTCCCCTAAGTGGTGCAATTAGGGAATTATTTAGGAGAACTAAACATCCCGGGCGTATAATGACTACTGTGGTGGCTCCATTATTGTAGCAGCTGTGCATTTGTACAGCTTGGATGGACAGAGATGTAAAATGTGGACTTGGAGCTGAAATCTGCAGACACAATACAACAGAGCAGGCATTGTGTCCTCCAGGCAGCTTCTTTCACTGTTCTCTTCCTTACTGTCACTAATAAGTAAGAAGATAAAATGAGAGCGTTCTCTGAAATGTTGCCAGATTCATAGGAAATTACCATAAGTAGTTTTCCCTTCCTTTGTCACTGAAACGAATTTAATTTTGTGAAGGACCAAACACAAGGGGGAATTCTGTGCTTTGCGTGTCATAGAGTTACATTTTGTACTAGCTTTCTCTTTTCGAAATGGAACTTTTAGGGATTCTGTCACAAATAGCTGTGTATTTTCATTATCAAACCTGTGCTAGAAGTAAAAAAAGAAAGTTGAAGAGCCATGGGAGCAACAAGCGAAACAAGAAGTTCTTCTTTCAGATACCTAGTGTGGCTAAAAATAATGAATGATGGAATGTGATTGGTTGCACTTTCCTTCAGTTTTCATAAAATCAGGCACGGATACCATGTTGTTAGCCCTGTTGCCTTGCAGTGCAGTCCTAGGTTTGAATCTCGCCAGGGACCCTAGTGGAATGGAGCTTTATGTTCTCTCCGTGTGTGCCATTTTTTTTTTTCCACAACCCAACAATAAACTGGTAGGTTAACTGGCTTTTGACCTAACTGGCCCTAGAAGGGTGCATGTTTCTAATTGTATGACTGTGGCAGTGGCAGTAGACTGGAAGATGTTTAGGCAGTGACTGAGTGGTGGAGAAGAATTGTGTTTACACTAAGCATGCAGCTCCTTTATACAGAAGTAACTCAAAGAGCACATAATTCAATACCAAGGGGAACGTAAAAAACAAATGCTACACCCAAAAGTCCCACAAAAAATTTGTTCCAATAAACTGAATAAAAATCCAAAAGTGTGGACAAAGCACTTTGGGAGCCCAAAACTGCTCCTTTTATAAGAGCTTAAGGTGTTTGGTTGCTTAAACCAGTTGCTATGAAGCATGTACCATCACTTATTCACTACCTATTTGGTACGAAAACCACGCATAGAGTCCACTTTTGATTTGACGCAAACTTTGTAAGCCTGATAAAGGGGGCACTTGTGAGCTCCTGAAACGCATGAGTATACATATGAATTTTGTATTGGTCTGTTTAACATAAAAAATATTTGTTACACAATAATGTGGGTGTGAAGCTTGATTTCTTTTTTAAGGTTTTTTTTTTTTGCGGTCTGTGTCCCCACTGGAGAGATTAAACTTATTTATCCTAATAACCATTGTCATTGGGACTATCCGTGATGTACAAAGTAAAATTTTAAGATGTTTCTGGAACAAGAATAAAAATCTTCAAAAATAAAAAATATTTTTTTTAAAATGTTTTTTGCTTTAAAGCCCAACTCCAGGAAACTGGCTGCCTTCACACTGCAAGGGTTAATTACTAATTTAGTCTAGGAGAGACTAAAAGTGCTTTTACTTACCTGACCCTCAACTCCCCTAGAAGATGACACTCTCCCATGTGATGGGGAAATCTCCCTCGGCGTCAAGACATCCTGTGTAAGGCTATGGACTCTGTATTGGTCTTGCTAATGTCAGGACCTTAGACAGCTGGAGCATTGAGGAGAAAATGCTACTGGGAGCAGCATAGCAGTGCGGAGGAACAGAGGATCGGATAAATGAATTTACTTTAACAAGTGCACTAGACCTAAATGAGCAATTAACCTTCGCAGTGCAAATGCAGCCCCACTGAAAGGGATAATGTTCCAAGAGTTGGGTTTTAAGCCAAACTCTAAATAAAAAACAGCCCTACTGGATATATTCAAATACCTTTATTTCATAACCCTATCCCATTATGTTCTAGAAATATCCCACACACCTTGTTCCTACAGGCTGGTGACATGTTTAAGAATGAAAGAACTGTGCAAAGCACGTAACAAACCCACCACATCTGTTACCCTAAGTGGTGACCTACTAACTAGTGCAGGCAGGGGTAGAGCAGTATTCAGAAGATGGAAGGATGTTCTAAACTCAGTTACTGTAGCACAGTAGCTAAATGGTTAGCACTTCCGCCTGGCAGTACTAGGGTCGTTGGTTCGAATCCCAGCCATGGCACCACCTGCCTGGAGTTTGCATGTTCTCCCTGTGCCTGCGTCGGTTTCCTCCCACACTCCAAAGACATGCTAGTAGGTAAATTGGTTCCTGTCTAAATTGGCCCTAGTATGTGAATGTAAGTTAGGGACCTTAGATTGTACTCCCCTTGAGGGTTAGGGACTGAAGTGAATGTACAATATATATATATATGTAAAAGCGCTGCATAAATTGACGGCACTATATAAGTACCTGAACTAAATAAATGAAAATAAATACTGTACTTTATACAACATCACCCACCTGTCTCTGTGTATTTGACCTCTTTTAAAAAACAATCCATCAGGTGGAGCTACTGTACATCTTGAGAAGACCATTTTTTCACCAGTCTCCAAATGAAATCTAATTTGTTGTGGTGTTAGAATGCCAAGTCCCACTGCAACTAAAGCACTAGTCATTCTTCGCACCTGAAAAAAGAAATCAGCTTTCTGCCTATTAACAAAGAAATGCAATAAATAAATTTGCAACAAAAAAGCGTGATTTGTGTCAGAGCTCAAGAACACAAATGCAATATACTGCAGCTCACCAGTACTTAGATGTTGTGGCTACATTAGTTTTCTTTTTTCAGTCATTTTTACTCTTATTTTTTGCCCATGATCTTGCCAGTAACACATTTCCTGTCCTGGAGTGAGAACACTCACTCACAGTACTATATCTATGGGAGGAGCAACATGTCACCTTAGGACAGGACAACTACAGGACAGTGGATACCTTCCCCGCTCCTCTTCCTCAAAACATAGCGGAAAGGCGTTCTCTATTCCACAGACTTTCCAGAGACAGGAATAATTTTTCCCTCAATTAAAACATATTGTGCTTTAGAGGTCTGAAGTGAAACTAGACAAAAGAAACTGAGGCAGAAGGAGGCTTCCATCTTCCCCAAGACACTTATGCAGAAGTGGAGAGTGAGACAGCTTTTGGATTGAAGAGCTGGAAACTGAGATTGGAGATCCTGTTTCTCTTGAGATTTGTCCAGGACCAGACCCAGATACTCCAAGTGATAATTGGTTTCAGCTATGATTTCTCAAGGTTCAGGATCCACCTAAACCTCAGTAACATATGACAATCAGAGATACGATGTCCTTCAGCTCTTGCTCACCATTCCCTTAATAATAGGTTGTCCAAGTACTGAACGATGGGGATACCCTGAGAGTGCAACAAAGCCAACACTGGATCCAGCACTTGGGTTAGTACCCAGGGCCATGAACTGGTAGTGCAGTGGCCCTACAGCAATACTCTGAAAGTGCTTGTGAACTGGAAAGGCACATACAAATGTAAATATTCAAAGCCTTGAGCCCCAATATGGTGCAAATGCCTACTTTCATTATTGGAAAAGTGATTACCGGTAAATAAAAACCTCAAACTGTTCTGCAGAGATCAGAGCTATAGCACCTGCTAGCAGTAGAGGACAGTGTGACTTCAAGCTGCAGACGTTGGCACTATCAGTAGGCACAAGCAGCCCACACCTGTTAGCAGAGTGGGCTTGGGGTATCCTTACCATGGCTAGAATTAGACATAATGTACAGCTCAGGGGAAAAGGCAAGGCGCCATGTACTTACAAAACCTGGACAGCTGTAAAAGTTGTGTGAGGCTCTGCGACTGGTGGGTCAGATAGCCGGAAATGACCAAACACACTGTAGACGGGCAGCAAAAATGGATTGAAGATCAAAATTCCACCTGGCTTATTACAGGAACAGTTGCATAGAGATGCTGTATGCCAGTTAAAGAAAGCATGCGAGTGACACTCTACCAAACATAACAACATCAGCGCTCTGTCCCACTGTGTTAACCCCTTCAACGGCAAAGCTGGAGGAAACTGGGGAATAATAGCACTCAGTAACTAAAAAACAAAGTAGCTCCTGGTGCTCGACCTGGCCCACTCACCGAGTCCAAGGAAACCAGGCAAGTGCAGAGGCAATACCATTGTCCCTGGACCTGGAAAGTGCTGTGTTGCTAACTTAACCAGAATGCAAAGTGGAAAGCATTGCACACAGCACCCAGTGACTAAATATCACTTCCAGGCTCAGCCCACAACCTCCAGTGCAGTTGGGTCTGGATGCTGTATGGTTCATTTACCAGGATGCGGATGACCACATTGGATACCTGCAAATCAGGGGGAATTCTCCAGCAGTGGTGTTCAAAATAGCTTTGACTGAAGAAAATAAAGGAAGGATTTCTAGGGGAAAAAAAATCACAGGTTTGTCTTGAACACAGCAGAGCTGAAGGAAAGATGTCCACCCTCCTAAGACAATATAAAAAAACCAAGGCAGGGTGTGGTAGAAGGAGGGGGTTATCCTGGGACTGTCTGTTTGCCAGTGTTCAATCCTTCTTTAGGTGGCAGCTTAACCCAAAGGTCTAAGGCTTCCAGTGTCCCTCAATGCACAAAAGAGAAACATACATTTAACATCATTTCTAATGATTACATAAGTAGATTTTTTCATAACTGCCCGAATTCACCTAAAGCTTTTTTTTATGCTGTAACTCTGCCCATATCAGATTTTTCAGGTTTGGGTGAATAATGGTAAATTTAAACACACCATGCCTTGTTGTAATGTATCTGTTGAGAATCTAGTAAGGATATATCTCCACCAGAATTACAAGGCTTGGCAAGTGGATGTGGCTTTTAAAAAGCCGAACAGTGCTATCATACTCCCTTGTAGGACTTTCTATAATTAAGGCTAACCAAATAACTAATCAGCTGTGATAATTCATTCACTGTCTTGTTGGAAAGGCATGGGGGATACCCACTGCTTTGGGGAAGTCTCACCAACAGAGTTTAACAGACGCAAGACGTTGCTATGTTGTTCAACACAAACTGTGTACATCTAAAACTATAATTTGTGTGGGTGGGAGATAAACACTCCCCACCCACCACCACCACCACCACACACACACACACACACACACACACGCACACACACACACAGATACTCACCTAGCATTGTTCCCCTGCCACTCCCCCCTCCGTTGAAGTCACCAATAAGCTGGAGACAGATGCTAGAGGAAGTGGTGACATCATACAACAGTGCTCAGGCCTAGCGATGGGCTTTTAGACCTAAACATGGGAGAAGGTCATATGATCCACCACACCTGGAAGTCTATTCTTGAAATCTTCTCTGTGCATTGCCCATCCCTGATGTGACAGCACTGGCTATTTTATGTGCTAGCACAGAATGCTGCATTATGAGAGAGCAGGAAGGTGTGCATGTGTGCCCTATATACAAAAGTGGTGAGATTTCCAGCAAGGAGCAGCCAGGAGCACTGAGTGTAGGGACCAGAGGCTGCTTACTGAGTGTTCAAGTTTACGAAAAATCCAAGAACACAATTGTAATACATAACAGCTCAACAGTCAGTCCTTAGTTGTGGTGGCCACATCAGTTTTATATTTTACTCTATTTTCATCTTGTGATGCTGCCATTAACACACTTCCTGTCCTAGGGTGACAATGCTCACTCACCATACTGTGTCTATGGAGGAGCAGCATTGTCACCCTAGGACAGAAAGCTTGTTATGACTGCAAAGCTCCATCCCCTTTGCTTTTTGCACTTATCAAACGGATACAACAAAACACTTTCAATGGTAAATTCAACAGAAGTAAAGGAAGCAAATAAAAGGTTTAATGTCATGTTCTGGATATTCTTTAAAGTGACCCCATAACTGAACCATTCACTTCAAAAATAATTCTCCCATAAAATCCATCCCCTTTGCTTTTTGCACTTATCAAACGGATACAACAAAACACTTTCAATGGTAAATTCAACAGAAGTAAAGGAAGCAAATAAAAGGTTTAATGTCATGTTCTGGATATTCTTTAAAGTGACCCCATAACTGAACCATTCACTTCAAAAATAATTCTCCCATAAAATTGTATGTACAGTTAATGTATTTTATGCATAATATTTATCTGTAAAAGTCTACCTTGTGTCCATATCCAAAAGACCCAAGCCTGCTGCCGGGTGCTGCCATCTTGCATTTGATGTCAGCAGCACCAGAAGACTTAAAGCTATCACTCAAGTACTCCCCTCACTCCTCTAGCTACTTAAAAGGTGATGTTGGGAGGTGAAGGAAGGGGCAGAGGATTTGGACCAGAACAGAGAGTAATCAGACACTCGCAAAAAAAAAAAGACAGAACTATGACATACAGCACAAGGAAGACGTGGTTACACTAGGAAACAGAATCATCCCAAAGTAGTCACATGTTCTAGCAAGTTCATAGGCGCTTAAAAAGTGAATAAAATAACATTTTTATGGAAAAGAAAAACAATGCAGGTAATCATTTAAAATACTTGATTTTGATGTATTTCCTGGAACTGTTTGTGACAGGTTCCCTTTACCTATGAAGGTTGCATATGTTCTGGGGGCATGAGCAGAATGAACAGTCATCCAGTGAATGAAAGATCCCTGTCTTACAGATAACCATTGGAGAGATACAGTACTGAATGGAAAGCTCTGTGGTCAAGCCTGTTTCCTGCAGGGTAGAGCCAGACCACATTACATTCTGTAGCATTTTGCATTTATTACACTGGCCAAAGGACAAGTCAATTCTATTTTTAGAAATGAGACACTGTAATGGCAGGTTTTCCTTCTTATACCAAGTAAATAAATCATAATTAATGCCCATAAGAACAGCTGAGCATTTCTAAAAATGCAAAAATAAGAAGATGTAAACCTGGTTTCATCTGATATTGTACATCTCATGCAAAACGGAAAAAGTAACTGTACCTGGCGATAGGCAAAGGATTTACTTTTGAAGGTAAAATTCCAAAACTGAACATCACTGCAAAGTAAAAGAGTCAGAGATAAATATGCATATCACCAAGGTTAACATGGCCCACATACAATAGGTTCCTGATTGTATTACAAATGTGCAGTTACAAAACCTCCCCAGAACTGAAAAATGCATGAATATATATATATATATATATATATATATATATATATATATATATATACACACACATACACAGTTGTGTTCAAAATAATAGCAGTGTGTTGAAAAAAGTGAATAAAGCTCAAAATCCTAATAGCTTTTATTTCCATACACACAAATGCATTGGGAACACTACACATTCTATTCCAAATCAAAACATTAAGACAAATATATCAAATTTGTGTTGTTCCTCTAAAAAATTTGAAGAAAAGTGAATATTAGACTGTTCAAAAAAATAGCAGTGTTTGTATTCTTCTTTACAAACTCAAACATTCACTATATAAACTGAAAATTTTTTGAAGATTTTGCTTTCCTTTGAATCACTTAATGAATATTTAGTTGTATAAGCACTGTTTCTTTCTGAGAACTGCTGTACATCTGTGTTGCATGGAGTCAACCAACTTCTGGCACCTGTGAACAGGTATTCCAGCCCAGGATGATTGGACTACATTCCACAGTTCTTCTCTATTTCTTGGTTTTGCCTCAGAAACTGCATTTTTGATGTCACCCACAAGTTTTCTATTGGATTAAGATC